ATCCATCAGCATCGCCCTTTCCTCTCATATCCATCAGCATCGCCCTTTCCTCTCATATCCATCAGCATCGCCCTTTCCTCTCATATCCATCAGCATCGCCCTTTCCTCTCATATCCATCAGCATCGCCCTTTCCTCTCATATCCATCAGCATCGCCCTTTCCTCTCATATCCATCAGCATCGCCCTTTCCTCTCATATCCATCAGCATCGCCCTTTCCTCTCATATCCATCAGCATCGCCCTTTCCTCTCATATCCATCAGCATCGCCCTTTCCTCTCATATCCATCAGCATCGCCCTTTCCTCTCATATCCATCAGCATCGCCCTTTCCTCTCATATCCATCAGCATCGCCCTTTCCTCTCATATCCATCAGCATCGCCCTTTCCTCTCATATCCATCAGCATCGCCCTTTCCTCTCATATCCCAGCATCGCCCTTCATCCATCAGCATCGCCTTTCCTCTCATATCCATCAGCATCGCCCTTTCCTCTCATATCCATCAGCATCGCCCTTTCCTCTCATATCCATCAGCATCGCCCTTTCCTCTCATATCCATCAGCATCGCCCTTTCCTCTCATATCCATCAGCATCGCCCTTTCCTCTCATATCCATCAGCATCGCCCTTTCCTCTCATATCCATCAGCATCGCCCTTTCCTCTCATATCCATCAGCATCGCCCTTTCCTCTCATATCCATCAGCATCGCCCTTTCCTCTCATATCCATCAGCATCGCCCTTTCCTCTCATATCCATCAGCATCGCCCTTTCCTCTCATATCCATCAGCATCGCCCTTTCCTCTCATATCCATCAGCATCGCCCTTTCCTCTCATATCCATCAGCATCGCCCTTTCCTCTCATATCCATCAGCATCGCCCTTTCCTCTCATATCCATCAGCATCGCCCTTTCCTCTCATATCCATCAGCATCGCCCTTTCCTCTCATATCCATCAGCATCGCCCTTTCCTCTCATATCCATCAGCATCGCCCTTTCCTCTCATATCCATCAGCATCGCCCTTTCCTCTCATATCCATCAGCATCGCCCTTTCCTCTCATATCCATCAGCATCGCCCTTTCCTCTCATATCCATCAGCATCGCCCTTTCCTCTCATATCCATCAGCATCGCCCTTTCCTCTCATATCCATCAGCATCGCCCTTTCCTCTCATATCCATCAGCATCGCCCTTTCCTCTCATATCCATCAGCATCGCCCTTTCCTCTCATATCCATCAGCATCGCCCTTTCCTCTCATATCCATCAGCATCGCCCTTTCCTCTCATATCCATCAGCATCGCCCTTTCCTCTCATATCATCAGCATCGCCCTTTCTCTCATATCCATCAGCATCGCCTTTCCTCTCATATCCATCAGCATCGCCCTTTCCTCTCATATCCATCAGCATCCCCTTTCCTCTCATATCCATCAGCATCGCCCTTTCCTCTCATATCCATCAGCATCTCCCTTTCCTCTCATATCCATCAGCATCTCTCTTTCCTCTCATATCCATCAGCATCGCCCTTTCCTCTTCATATCCATCAGCATCGCCCTTTCCTCTCATATCCATCAGCATCGCCCTTTCCTCTCATATCCATCAGCATCGCCCTTTCCTCTCATATCCATCCAGCATCGCCCTTTCCTCTCATATCCATCAGCATCGCCTTTCCTCTCATATCCATCAGCATCGCCCTTTCCTCTCATAATCCATCAGCATCGCCCTTCCCTCTCATATCCATCAGCATCGCCCTTTCCTCTCATATCATCACATCCTATATCCAGCATCGCCCTTTCCTCTCATATCCATCAGCATCGCCCTTTCCTCTCATATCCATCAGCATCGCCCTTTCCTCTCATATCCATCAGCATCTCCCTTTCCTCTCATATCCATCAGCATCGCCCTTTCCTCTCATCATCCATCAGCATCGCCCCTTTCCTCTCATATCCATCAGCATCGCCCTTTCCTCTCATATCCATCAGCATCGCCCTTTTCCTCTCATATCCCATCAGCATCGCCCTTTCCTCTCATATCCATCAGCATCCCCCCCCATTCCTCAGCATCGCCCTTTCCTCTCATATCCATCAGCATCGCCCTTTCCTCTCATATCCATCAGCATCGCCCTTTCCTCTCATATCCATCCAGCATCGCCCTTTCCTCTCATATCCATCAGCATCGCCCTTTCCTCTCATATCCATCAGCATCGCCCTTTCCTCTCATATCCATCAGCATCGCCCTTTCCTCTCATATCCATCAGCATCGCCCTTTCCTCTCATATCCATCAGCATCGCCCTTTCCTCTCATATCCATCAGCATCGCCCTTTCCTCTCATATCCATCAGCATCGCCCTTTCCTCTCATATCCATCAGCATCGCCCTTTCCTCTCATATCCATCAGCATCGCCCTTTCCTCTCATATCCATCAGCATCGCCCTTTCCTCTCATATCCATCAGCATCGCCCTTTCCTCTCATATCCATCAGCATCGCCCTTTCCTCTCATATCCATCAGCATCGCCCTTTCCTCTCATATCCATCAGCATCGCCCTTTCCTCTCATATCCATCAGCATCGCCCTTTCCTCTCATATCCATCAGCATCGCCCTTTCCTCTCATATCCATCAGCATCGCCCTTTCCTCTCATATCCATCAGCATCGCCCTTTCCTCTCATATCCATCAGCATCGCCCTTTCCTCTCATATCCATCAGCATCGCCCTTTCCTCTCATATCCATCAGCATCGCCCTTTCCTCTCATATCCATCAGCATCGCCCTTTCCTCTCATATCCATCAGCATCGCCCTTTCCTCTCATATCCATCAGCATCGCCCTTTCCTCTCATATCCATCAGCATCGCCCTTTCCTCTCATATCCATCAGCATCGCCCTTTCCCATATCCATCAGCATCGCCCTTTCCTCTCATATCCATCAGCATCGCCCCTTTCCTCTCATATCCATCAGCATCGCCCTTTCCTCTCATATCCATCAGCATCTCCCTTTCCTCTCATATCCATCAGCATCGCCCTTTCCTCTCATATCCATCAGCATCGCCCTTTCCTCTCATATCCATCAGCATCGCCCTTTCCTCTCATATCCATCAGCATCGCCCTTTCCCTCATATCCATCAGCATCGCCCTTTCCTCTCATATCCATCAGCATCGCCCTTTCCTCTCATATCCATCAGCATCGCCCTTTCCTCTCATATCCATCAGCATCGCCCTTTCCTCTCATATCCATCAGCATCGCCCTTTCCTCTCATATCCATCAGCATCGCCCTTTCCTCTCATATCCATCAGCATCGCCCTTTCCTCTCATATCCATCAGCATCGCCCTTTCCTCTCATATCCATCAGCATCGCCCTTTCCTCTCATATCCATCAGCATCGCCCTTTCCTCTCATATCCATCAGCATCGCCCTTTCCTCTCATATCCATCAGCATCGCCCTTTCCTCTCATATCCATCAGCATCGCCCTTTCCTCTCATATCATCAGCATCGCCCTTTCCTCTCATATCCATCAGCATCGCCCTTTCCTCTCATATCCATCAGCATCGCCCTTTCCTCTCATATCCATCAGCATCGCCCTTTCCTCTCATATCCATCAAGCATCTCCCTTTCCTCTCATATCCATCAGCATCGCCCTTTCTCCTCTCATATCCATCAGCATCGCCCTTTCCTCTCATATCCATCAGCATCGCCCTTTCCTCTCATATCCATCAGCATCGCCCTTTCCTCTCATATCCATCAGCATCGCCCTTTCCTCTCATATCCATCAGCATCGCCCTTTCCTCTCATATCCATCAGCATCGCCCTTTCCTCTCATATCCATCGCATCCCCTTTCCTCTCATACCATCAGCATCGCCCTTTCCTCTCATATCCATCAGCATCGCCCCTTTCCTCTCATATCCATCAGCATCGCCCTTTCCTCTCATATCCATCAGCATCGCCCTTTCCTCTCATATCCATCAGCATCGCCCTTTCCTCTCATATCCATCAGCATCGCCCTTTCCTCTCATATCCATCAGCATCGCCCTTTCCTCTCATATCCATCAGCATCGCCCTTTCCTCTCATATCCATCAGCATCGCCCTTTCCTCTCATATCCATCAGCATCGCCCTTTCCTCTCATATCCATCAGCATCGCCCTTTCCTCTCATATCCATCAGCATCGTCCCTTTTCCTCTCATATCCCATCAGCATCGCCCTTTCCTCTCATATCCATCAGCATCGCCTTTCCTCTCATATCCATCAGCATCGCCCTTTCCTCTCATATCCATCAGCATCTCCCTTTCCTCTCATATCCATCAGCATCGCCCTTTCCTCTCATATCCATCAGCATCGCCCTTTCCTCTCATATCCATCAGCATCGCCCTTTCCTCTCATATCCATCAGCATCGCCCTTTCCTCTTCATATCCCATCAGCATCTCCCTTTCCTCTCATATCCATCCAGCATCGCCCTTTCCTCTCATATCCATCAGCATCTCCCTTTCCTCTCATATCCATCAGCACCTCCCTTCCTCTCATATCATCAGCATCGCCCTTTCCTCTCATATCCATCAGCATCTACCTTTCCTCTCATATCCATCAGCATCGCCCTTTCCTCTCATATCCATCAGGCATCGCCCTTTCCTCTCATATCCATCAGCATCGCCCTTTCCTCTCATATCCATCAGCATCGCCCTTTCCTCTCATATCCATCAGCATCTCCCTTTCCTCTCATATCCATCAGCATCGCCCTTTCCTCTCATATCCATCAGCATCTCCCTTTCCCCTCATATCCATCAGCATCTCCCTTTCCTCTCATATCCATCAGCATGGCCCTTTCCTCTCATATCCATCAGCATCTCCCTTTCCACTCATATCCATCAGCATCGGCCCTTTCCTCTCCGAATCTCACCACTGACGTCGTGCCGCGCCCTGCCATGCCGCGCCCTGCCATGCCGCGCCCTGCCATGGCATATCGCTCATGCGTGCACCCTTTATGCATCCATGTCTCATAATCCCCCTACCCTCGCCCAGGTGACGGCAGCATCCATCCGCATTGTGGAGCAGCCATGGCAGCGAGTGGCGGTGGCGGGACGGCCGCATGACCATGGTACGGTACGGTGCCATAATGGTGCGGCACGGTGCTTTGCGTTGTGGTGTGGTGTGGTCTGGTAGGGTGGGGGTGAGGTGTGGGATTCAGATTAAACCTTGTCATGGTAATTAGTTGCGATGGTGACTTGCTACAGTGATGCGATACTGTGATGCTGTGTGGATGGTGTATGGTAGCTGAAACTGCATGGTCAACAGAGGCAGTCGAGCTTGTAAAAGCTCTCTTCTTTTCAAGAAAATCCTCGTGTCTGCGCCCGCCCACCCGTTCAAGAACTTGATGTGGCTAACGCACTCACGATGGACTTCATGCATCACTGCATGGATTGGCATGGCATGGCACGTGAACGTCATGGTATGGTATGGCATGGTATGGTAATGGTATGGCATGGCACGCGAATGGCATGGCATGGGATGTGAATGGTATGAATGGCATGGAATCTATTGGCATGGCATGTGAGTGATGGCTGCCGCGTGTGCGGCGAGTGGCAGGGTTCTCCCTGGGCAGGGAGAGGCGCGGTGGCGGACGTGCGGGTGGATGCCGCGGGCAGCACACTGTGCGGGCGGGCGTTGAGGACTACTCCGTGCTCAAGACCACGCAGGTGAGGCATGCTAGGGCATGGCTCAAGACCACGCAGGTGAGTGTGAGGGTTTATACACTGACTGAAGTGTTCGTGGATGGCGAGTCAAACCCTCTCAAACACGACATCATGATGCGCTTGCCACCTCTCACTGTTTCTCTCCTCGCCTCTCAGCCTTTTCCACCCTTTCGCTCCAGCTTTGGTCGCTTCAACCCTCACGTGTAACCCCCCAGCCCGGTTTCCTTCACATTGGAAGACATTTCTTTCTCTCTGCTCCCCCAACACCCTTCGTCCCTCCTCTTAATGTGGCGTCAACGGCTTCATACCGATAAGACCACTCTGCTCCCAGACACCAGATAGGGCGTCGTAATCAATTCCATTTCCGGCCTTTGCTCTCTGCTTTCCTTACCCCCTCAAACATCAGTCTGGCTTTGAGGGCTTCATCCGCGATGAGAACACACTGCTGCCCGACACCAGAGAGCGCATCCTCGCCACCACGGTGCAGGCCACGTGGAGGTGAGCAGTGATTGCCACGTGGAGGTGGTGAGGGTATGAGTGGGTGAGGGTGTCAGTTGGGTGTTTTATGGGGAGGTGCGGCATGACTGTCACTTGACACATCAAGGACCGCTTCCTTGCCACAGTTGTGCGAGGAACCGCCACGTGGACGACGAGTGACAGACCCTAGGAATCGCTGCAGATGTGGGCCCTTTCGGCTTGCCAGCCTTGTCGCTGTTGCCTTGCAAGCCCCGCCAAGTATACGATTCGAGCAAATCTCCGCGCTTTTTTAGCCGTGAATCAGACTCTCCCGTTCCCCTTGACACCCCTCGTTGGACGTCCCCCTCCGACCGCCCCTCACAGACTCTTATTTTGACCCTCAACCATGCTTCACATCCTCCCTCCCACTCCTCCCACCCCCCCCGTTCACGGCCCCCAGCTACACTCGCGACCCCCCATGCTTCAACACTGCCTTCTCAGCGGCCAAGGCAGCCCTCTCAGACACGTTCTTCGGGCCGCCTCAAGGAGGAGTGTACAGCCCCTCAGTGCAGCGCACCTCTTCCTCATGGCCAACCAGGTGCTCGCCAGGTGCGCTCGCTTGCTTGCACGCTCTAAGCTGCGCCTCACAGCCGGGTCTACAGCCCCGCTGTGCAGCACTCCCTGTTTCTCATGGGCAAGGGGTGCTCACGAGGTGAGGCGGTTCGATGCAGCGCCCCCTTATCCTCTTGGCCCATTTACTCTTTGAGCTCCCCTTGAGCTCCTTTTCCATCCCGTCCCCCGTGCTGCTGTCCCCCGTGCTGCTGTCCCCCGTGCTGCCGGCCCACGTGCTGCTGGCCCACGTGCTGCTGGCCCACGTGCTGCTGGCCCATGTGCTGCTGGCCGACTCCATTTTGAGTTCCTCACTGCCTTCTGAGTCAAGCCTAAGGGTGCCGCCATCTCCTGTATCTCTCTGTCTCTCTCGCACTGCATGCGCCATCAGAGTGCCCGAGGCGGACGACGTGCATCTGAAGCTGCCCAATCTGCACTTCATCCCGGTCAACCTGCCAGGCATTGTCAAGGTGGGTCGCTGCTCACAGGAAATCATTGCTTGCCGCCAGCAATCACCACCACTTGTGTGCTGTGCTGCCCCATCGCCCTGCCCGTGTTGTCCAATTGTCCCGCTCCGTCTGCGCCCCACCCCCATGTGTGCTACTCCCTCCTCCCCCAGTGTGAGGACGACGTCTATCTGCCAACCAGCGAGCCCCATGGCAGCATCGAGGCATGTGTCTCCCGCAGCATATCATCGCCTGCAGCAAGGCTCTGAGTCAGCAGCGCTTGCTGCCAGGCTGTGAGGCTAAGCTGAGCCGAGCCGCAGTAGAGGCCACAGCTCGTTTCTCCTTGCGCACCGGTTCCTAATCTGGCTTTTCCGCAACACTGACTCACCTGTGTGTCGCCATTGGCCACAGCCCGTGGACTCCACCCTGTGCACGATGTGGGTGTAGGTTGCACGTGCTGCTGGGGACTGGCATCTGCTGTTGTGCAGTAGCCTTGTACAGTTCTTGGTTGCCGTATTTGACAGTAAAAAGTGCAGAATGGGCTACATAGATCAGGACCTTTTGCAGTTTATCAATATAGCGATGATCGATCTGTACAAAGATCCAACCAGCAGCACTCCCTGCCTGTACGCCTGGGACTCCAGAGATATTGATGGCTGCTGATGCGGCGGAAAGAAAGGATGACGTGAGATGAGAAGTGAGGTGACAGCATGGCATGGCAGCACAAATGTGCACTGAGGCCGCAAGACAGTCCGCATGGATGCGCGAGGTAGCCATACAGGGGGCGGTTGAAGTGGCAGCATGGCAGGGCGTGGCAAGGGCATGAATGTGGCCGCATGGCAGGGCGTGGCAAGGGCATGAATGTGGCAAGGGCATGAATGTGGCCGCATGGCAGGGCGTGGCAAGGGCATGAATGTGGCCGCATGGCAGGGCGTGGCAAGGGCATGAATGTGGCCGCATGGCAGGGCGTGGCAAGGGCATAAATGTGGCCGCATGGCAGGGCGTGGCAAGGGTATGAATGTGGCCGCATGGCAGGGCGTGGCAAGGGTATGAATGTGGCCGCATGGCAGGGCGTGGCAAGGCATGAATGTGGCCGCATGGCAGGGCGTGGCAAGGGCATGGATGTGGGGGCGTGTTGGAGACCAGCTGCCCGTGGCAGCTCATGTGCTTGCAGGGATATAGCCATGCAGGGCGAGGTGGCAGTATGCCAACACAGCGCCGCCCATGTGACAGCCTGGCATGGAGCGAGCCTCAGCGAGCAGCGAGGCCTGCAGGACAGGGAAACAGGTAAGGAAGAGAGGAGCAGCCGTTGATTACACGGTAACAGGTGAGGAAGAGAGGAGCAGCCGTTGATTACACGGTAACAGGTAAGGAAGAGAGGAGCAGCCGTTGATTACACGGTAACAGGTGAGGAAGAGAGGACCAGCCGTTGATTACACGGTAACAGGTGAGAGAGAGAGGAGCAGCCGTTGATTACACGGTAACAGGTGAGGAAGAGAGGAGCAGCCGTTGATTACACGGTAACAGGTGAGGAAGAGAGGAGCAGCCGTTGATTACACGGTAACAGGTGAGGAAGAGAGGAGCAGCCGTTGATTACACGGTAACAGGTGAGGAAGAGAGGAGCAGCCGTTGATTACACGGAAACAGGTGAGGAAGAGAGGAGCAGCCGTTGATTACACGGTAACAGGTGAGGAAGAGAGGAGCAGCCGTTGATTACACGGTAACAGGTGAGGAAGAGAGGAGCAGCCGTTGATTACACGGTAACAGGTGAGGAAGAGAGGAGCAGCCGTTGATTACACGGTAACAGGTAAGGAAGAGAGGAGCAGCCGTTGATTACACGGTAACAGGTGAGGAAGAGAGGAGCAGCCGTTGATTACACGGTAACAGGTGAGGAAGAGAGGAGCAGCCGATGATTACACGGATACAGGTGAGGAAGAGAGGAGCAGCCGTTGATTACACGGTAACAGGTGAGGAAGAGAGGAGCAGCCGTTGATTACACGTAACAGGTGAGGAAGAGAGGAGCAGCCGTTGATTACACGGTAACAGGTGAGGAAGAGAGGAGCAGCCGTTGATTACACGGTAACAGGTGAGGAAGAGAGGAGCAGCCGTTGATTACACGGTAACAGGTGAGGAAGAGAGGAGCAGCCGTTGATTACACGGTAACAGGTGAGGAAGAGAGGAGCAGCCGTTGATTACACGGTAACAGGTGAGGAAGAGAGGAGCCGTTGAATTACACGAACAGGGAGAAGGAGCAGCCGTTGATTACACGGAAACAGGTGAGGAAGAGAGGAGCAGCCGTTGATTACACGGTAACAGGTGAGGAAGAGAGGAGCAGCCGTTGATTACACGGTAAAGTGAGGAAGAGAGGAGCAGCCTTTGATTACACGGTAACAGGTGAGGAAGAGAGGAGCAGCCGTTGATTACACGGTAACAGGTGAGGAAGAGAGGAGCAGCCGTTGATTACACGGTAAACAGGTGAGGAAGAGAGGAGCAGCCGTTGATTACACGGAAACAGGTGAGGAAGAGAGGAGCAGCCGTTGATTACACGGTAACAGGTGAGGAAGAGAGGAGCAGCCGTTGATTACACGGTAACAGGTGAGGAAGAGAGGAGCAGCCGTTGATTACACGGTAACAGGTGAGGAAGAGAGGAGCAGCCGTTGATTACACGGTAACAGGTGAGGAAGAGAGGAGCAGCCGTTGATTACACGGTAACAGGTGAGGAAGAGAGGAGCAGCCGTTGATTACACCGGAAACAGGTGAGGAAGAGAGAGCAGCCGTTGATTACACGGAACAGGTGAGGAAGAGAGGAGCAGCCGTTGATTACACGGTAACAGGTGAGGAAGAGAGGAGCAGCCGTTGATTACACGGTAACAGGTGAGGAAGAGAGGAGCAGCCGTTGATTACACGGAAACAGGTGAGGAAGAGAGGAGCAGCCGTTGATTACACGGAAACAGGTGAGGAAGAGAGGAGCAGCCGTTGATTACACGTAACAGGTGAGGAAGAGAGGAGCAGCCGTTGATTACACGGTAACAGGTGAGGAAGAGAGGAGCAGCCGTTGATTACACGGTAACAGGTGAGGAAGAGAGGAGCAGCCGTTGATTACACGGTAACAGGTGAGGAAGAGAGGAGCAGCCGTTGATTACACGGTAACAGGTGAGGAAGAGAGGAGCAGCCGTTGATTACACGGTAACAGGTGAGGAAGAGAGGAGCAGCCGTTGATTACACGGTAACAGGTGAGGAAGAGAGGAGCAGCCGTTGATTACACGGTAAACAGGTGAGGAAGAGAGGAGCAGCCGTTGATTACACGGAAACAGGTGAGGAAGAGAGGAGCAGCCGTGAACGCGGAAGAGAGGAGCAGCCGTTGATTACACGTAACAGGTGAGGAAGAGAGGAGCAGCCGTTGATTACACGGTAACAGGTGAGGAAGAGAGGAGCAGCCGTTTGATTACACGGTAACAGGTAAGGAAGAGAGGAGCAGCCGTTGATTACACGGTAACAGGTGAGGAAGAGAGGAGCAGCCGTTGATTACACGGTAACAGGTGAGGAAGAGAGGAGCAGCCGTTGATTACACGGAAACAGGTGAGGAAGAGAGGAGCAGCCGTTGATTACACGGAAACAGTGAGGAAGAGAGGAGCAGCCGTTGATTACACGGTAAACAGGTGAGGAAGAGAGGAGCAGCCGTTGATTACACGGAACAGGTAAGGAAGAGAGGACACCGTTGATTACACGGTAACAGGTGAGGAAGAGAGGAGCAGCCGTTGATTACACGGTAACAGGTGAGGAAGAGAGGGAGCCGTTGATTACACGGAACAGTGAGGAAGAGAGGAGCAGCGTTGATTACACGGAAACAGGTGAGGAAGAGAGGAGCAGCCGTTGATTACACGGTAACAGGTGAGGAAGAGAGGAGCAGCCGTTGATTACACGGTAACAGGTGAGGAAGAGAGGAGCAGCCGTTGATTACACGGTAACAGGTGAGGAAGAGAGGAGCAGCCGTTGATTACACGGTAACAGGTGAGGAAGAGAGGAGCAGCCGTTGATTACACGGAAACAGGTGAGGAAGAGAGGAGCAGCCGTTGATTACACGGAAACAGGTGAGGAAGAGAGGAGCAGCCGTTGATTACACGGTAACAGGTGAGGAAGAGAGGAGCAGCCGTTGATTACACGGTAACAGGTGAGGAAGAGAGGAGCAGCCGTTGATTACACGGAAACAGGTGAGGAAGAGAGGAGCAGCCGTTGATTACACGGTAACAGGTGAGGAAGAGAGGAGCAGCCGTTGATTACACGGTAACAGGTGAGGAAGAGAGGAGCAGCCGTTGATTACACGGTAACAGGTGAGGAAGAGAGGAGCAGCCGTTGATTACACAGAACAGGTGAGGAAGAGAGGAGCAGCCGTTGATTACACGGTAACAGGTGAGGAAGAGAGGAGCAGCCGTTGATTACACGGTAACAGGTGAGGAAGAGAGGAGCAGCCGTTGATTACACGGTAACAGGTGAGGAAGAGAGGAGCAGCCGTTGATTACACGGTAACAGGTGAGGAAGAGAGGAGCAGCCGTTGATTACACGGTAACAGGTGAGGAAGAGAGGAGCAGCCGTTGATTACACGGAACAGGTGAGGAAGAGAGGAGCAGCCGTTGATTACACGGGTAAACAGGTAAGGAAGAGAGGAGCAGCCGTTGATTACACGGTAACAGGTGAGGAAGAGAGGAGCAGCCGTTGATTACACGGTAACAGGGTGAGGAAGAGAGGAGCAGCCGTTGATTACACGGTAACAGGTGAGGAAGAGAGGAGCAGCCGTTGATTACACGGTAACAGGTGAGGAAGAGAGGAGCAGCCGTTGATTACACGGAAACAGGTGAGGAAGAGAGGAGCAGCCGTTGATTACACGGTAACAGGTGAGGAAGAGAGGAGCAGCCGTTGATTCCACGGTAACAGGTGAGGAAGAGAGGAGCAGCCGTTGATTACACGGTAACAGGTGAGGAAGAGAGGAGCAGCCGTTGATTACACGGTAACAGGTGAGGAAGAGAGGAGCAGCCGTTGATTACACGGTAACAGGTGAGGAAGAGAGGAGCAGCCGTTGATTACACGGTAACAGGTGAGGAAGAGAGGACCAGCCGTTGATTACACGGAAACAGGTGAGGAAGAGAGGAGCAGCCGTTGATTACACGGAAACAGGTGAGGAAGAGAGGAGCAGCCGTTGATTACACGGTAACAGGTGAGGAAGAGAGGAGCAGCCGTTGATTACACGGTAACAGGTGAGGAAGAGAGGAGCAGCCGTTGATTACACGGTAACAGGTAAGGAAGAGAGGAGCAGCCGTTGATTACACAGAAACAGGTGAGGAAGAGAGGAGCAGCCGTTGATTACACGGTAACAGGTGAGGAAGAGAGGAGCAGCCGTTGATTACACGGTAACAGGTGAGGAAGAGAGGAGCAGCCGTTGATTACACGGTAACAGGTGAGGAAGAGAGGAGCAGCCGTTGATTACACGGAAACAGGTGAGGAAGAGAGGAGCAGCCGTTGATTACACGGTAACAGGTGAGGAAGAGAGGAGCAGCCGTTGATTACACGGTAACAGGTGAGGAAGAGAGGAGCAGCCGTTGATTACACGGTAACAGGTGAGGAAGAGAGGACCAGCCGTTGACTACACGGTAACAGGTGAGGAAGAGAGGACCAGCCGTTGATTACACGGAAACAGGTGAGGAAGAGAGGAGCAGCCGTTGATTACACGGAAACAGGTGAGGAAGAGAGGAGCAGCCGTTGATTACACGGTAACAGGTGAGGAAGAGAGGAGCAGCCGTTGATTACACGGTAACAGGTGAGGAAGAGAGGAGCAGCCGTTGATTACACGGAAACAGGTGAGGAAGAGAGGAGCAGCCGTTGATTACACGGTAACAGGTGAGGAAGAGAGGAGCAGCCGTTGATTACACGGTAACAGGTGAGGAAAGAGAGGAGCAGCCGTTGATTACACGGAAACAGGTGAGGAAGAGAGGAGCAGCCGTTGATTACACGGTAACAGGTGAGGAATAGAGGAGCAGCCGTTGATTACACGGTAACAGGTGAGGAAGAGAGGAGCAGCCGTTGATTTACACGGTAACAGGTGAGGAAGAGAGGAGCAGCCGTTGATTACACGGTAACAGGGTAACAGGTAGGAAGAGAGGAGCAGCCGTTGATTACACGGTAACAGGTAAGGAAGAGAGGAGCAGCCGTTGATTACACGGTAACAGGTGAGGAAGAGAGGAGCAGCCGTTGATTACACGGTAACAGGTGAGGAAGAGAGGAGCAGCCGTTGATTACACGGTAACAGGTGAGGAAGAGAGGAGCAGCCGTTGATTACACGGTAACAGGTGAGGAAGAGAGGAGCAGCCGTTGATTACACGGTAACAGGTGAGGAAGAGAGGAGCAGCCGTTGATTACACGGTAACAGGTGAGGAAAGAGAGCAGCCGTTGATTACACGGTAACAGGTGAGGAAGAGAGGAGCAGCCGTTGATTACACGGTAACAGGTGAGGAAGAGAGGAGGCAGCCGTTGATTACACGGTAACAGGTGAGGAAGAGAGGAGCAGCCGTTGATTACACGGATAACAGGTGAGGAAGAGAGGAGCAGCCGTTGATTACACGGTAACAGGTGAGGAAGAGAGGAGCAGCCGTTGATTACACGGTAAACAGGTGAGGAAGAGAGGAGCAGCCGTTGATTACACGGAAACAGGTGAGGAAGAGAGGAGCAGCCGTTGATTACACGGTAACAGGTGAGGAAGAGAGGAGCAGCCGTTGATTAACACGGTAACAGGTGAGGAAGAGAGGAGCAGCCCGTTGATTACACGGTAACAGGTGAGGAAAGAGAGGAGCAGCCGTTGATTACACGGTAACAGGTGAGGAAGAGAGGAGCAGCCGTTGATTACACGGTAACAGGTGAGGAAGAGAGGAGCAGCCGTTGATTACACGGTAACAGGTGAGGAAGAGAGGAGCAGCCGTTGATTACACGGTAACAGGTGAGGAAGAGAGGAGCAGCCGTTGATTACACGGTAACAGGTGAGGAAGAGAGGAGCAGCCGTTGATTACACGGTAACAGGTGAGGAAGAGAGGAGCAGCCGTTGATTACACGGTAACAGGTGAGGAAGAGAGGAGCAGCCGTTGATTACACGGTAACAGGTGAGGAAGAGAGGAGCAGCCGTTGATTACACGGTAACAGGTGAGGAAGAGAGGAGCAGCCGTTGATTACACGGTAAACAGGTGAGGAAGAGAGGAGCAGCCGTTGATTACACGGTAACAGGTGAGGAAGAGAGGAGCAGCCGTTATACGGAACGGTGAGGAAGGGAGCAGCGTTGATTACACGGTAACAGGTGAGGAAGAGAGGAGCAGCCGTTGATTACACGGTAACAGGTGAGGAAGAGAGGAGCAGCCGTTGATTACACGGTAAACAGGTGAGGAAGAGAGGAGCAGCCGTTGATTACACGGTAACAGGTGAGGAAGAGAGGAGCAGCCGTTGATTACACGGTAACAGGTGAGGAAGGAGGAGAGCGTGATTACACGGAACAGGTGAGGAAGAGAGGAGCAGCCGTTGATTACACGGTAACAGGTGAGGAAGAGAGGAGCAGCCGTTGATTACACGGTAAACAGGTGAGGAAGAGAGGAGCAGCCGTTGATTACACGGTAACAGGTGAGGAAGAGAGGAGCAGCCGTTGATTACACGGAAACAGGTGAGGAAGAAGAACGGAACCGAACAGGGAGGGAGAGGAGCAGCCGTTGATTACACGGAAACAGGTGAGGAAGAGAGGAGCAGCCGTTGATTACACGGTAAACAGGTGAGGAAGAGAGGAGCAGCCGTTGATTACACGGTAACAGGTGAGGAAGAGAGGAGCAGCCGTTGATTACACGGTAACAGGTGAGGAAGAGAGGAGCAGCCGTTGATTACACGGTAACAGGTGAGGAAGAGAGGAGCAGCCAAGTCTGATTGATTACAGCGGTAACAGGTGAGGAAAGAGGAGCAGCCGTTGATTACACGGTAACAGGTGAGGAAGAGAGGAGCAGCCGTTGATTACACGGTAACAGGTGAGGAAGAGAGGAGCAGCGTTGATTACACGGTAACAGGTGAGGAAGAGAGGAGCAGCCGTTGATTACACGGTAACAGGTGAGGAAGAGAGGAGCAGCCGTTGATTACACGGTAACAGGTGAGGAAGAGAGGAGCAGCCGTTGATTAGCAGGTGTGTCAGCGAAACAGGTGAGAAAGGGAGGAGAGAAGGGAGACACGCCGTTGACGGTAACAGGTGAGGAAGAGAGGAGCAGCCGTTGATTACACGGTAACAGGTGAGGAAGAGAGGAGCAGCCGTTGATTACACGGAAACAGGTGAGGAAGAGAGGAGCAGCCGTTGATTACACGGTAACAGGTGAGGAAGAGAGGAGCAGCCGTTGATTACACGGTAACAGGTGAGGAAGAGAGGAGCAGCCGTTGATTACACGGTAACAGGTGAGGAAGAGAGGAGCAGCCGTTGATTACACGGTAAAGGTGAGGAAGAGAGGAGCAGCCGTTGATTACACGGTAACAGGTGAGGAAGAGAGGAGCAGCCGTTGATTACACGGTAACAGGTGAGGAAGAGAGGAAGCAGCCGTTGATTACACGGAAACAGGTGAGGAAGAGAGGAGCAGCCGTTGATTACACGGTAACAGGTGAGGAAGAGAGGAGCAGCCGTTGATTACACGGTAACAGGTGAGGAAGAAGGAGCAGCCGTTGATTACACGGTAACAGGTGAGGAAGAGAGGAGCAGCCGTTGATTACACGGTAACAGGTGAGGAAGAGAGGAGCAGCCGTTGATTACACGGTAAACAGGTGAGGAAGAGAGGAGCAGCCGTTGATTACACGGTAACAGGTGAGGAAGAGAGGAGCAGCCGTTGATTACACGGAAACAGGTGAGGAAGAGAGGAGCAGCCGTTGATTACACGGTAACAGGTGAGGAAGAGAGGAGCAGCCGTTGATTACACGGAACAGGTGAGGAAGAGAGGAGCAGCCGTTGATTACACGGTAACAGGTGAGGAAGAGAGGAGCAGCCGTTGATTACACGGTAACAGGTGAGGAAGAGAGGAGCAGCCGTTGATTACACGGTAACAGGTGAGGAAGAGGAGCAGCCGTTGATTACACGGTAACAGGTGAGGAAGAGAGGAGCAGCCGTTGATTACACGGTAACAGGTGAGGAAGAGAGGAGCAGCCGTTGATTACACGGAACAGGTGAGGAAGAGAGGAGCAGCCGTTGATTACACGGTAACAGGTGAGGAAGAGAGGAGCAGCCGTTGATTACACGGTAACAGGTGAGGAAGAAGGAGCAGCCGTTGATTACACGGAACAGGTGAGGAAGAGAGGAGCAGCCGTTGATTACACGGTAACAGGTGAGGAAGAGAGGAGCAGCCGTTGATTACACGGTAACAGGTGAGAAGAGAGGAGCAGCCGTTGATTACACGGTAAACAGGTGAGGAAGAGAGGAGCAGCCGTTGATTACACGGTAACAGGTGAGGAAGAGAGGAGCAGCCGTTGATTACACGGTAACAGGTGAGGAAGAGAGGAGCAGCCGTTGATTACACGGTAACAGGTGAGGAAGAGAGGAGCAGCCGTTGATTACACGGTAACAGGTGAGGAAGAGAGGAGCAGCCGTTGATTACACGGTAAACAGGTGAGAAGAGAGGAGCAGCCGTTGATTACACGGTAACAGGTGAGGAAGAGAGGAGCAGCCGTTGATTACACGGTAACAGGTGAGGAAGAGAGGAGCAGCCGTTGATTACACGGTAACAGGTGAGGAAGAGAGGAGCAGCCGTTGATTACACGGTAACAGGTGAGGAAGAGAGGAGCAGCCGTTGATTACACGGTAACAGGTGAGGAAGAGAGGAGCAGCCGTTGATTACACGGTAACAGGTGAGGAAGAGAGGAGCAGCCGTTGATTACACGGTAACAGGTGAGGAAGAGAGGAGCAGCCGTTGATTACACGGTAACAGGTGAGGAAGAGAGGAGCAGCCGTTGATTACACGGTAACAGGTGAGGAAGAGAGGAGCAGCCGTTGATTACACGGTAACAGGTGAGGAAGAGAGGAGCAGCCGTTGATTACACGGTAACAGGTGAGGAAGAGAGGAGCAGCCGTTGATTACACGGTAACAGGTGAGGAAGAGAGGAGCAGCCGTTGATTACACGGTAACAGGTGAGGAAGAGAGGAGCAGCCGTTGATTACACGGAACAGGTGAGGAAGAGAGGAGCAGCCGTTGATTACACGGTAACAGGTGAGGAAGAGAGGAGCAGCCGTTGATTACACGGTAACAGGTGAGGAAGAGAGGAGCAGCCGTTGATTACACGGTAACAGGTGAGGAAGAGAGGAGCAGCCGTTGATTACACGGTAACAGGTGAGGAAGAGAGGAGCAGCCGTTGATTACACGGAACAGGTGAGGAAGAGAGGAGCAGCCGTTGATTACACGGTAACAGGTGAGGAAGAGAGGAGCAGCCGTTGATTACACGGAACAGGTGAGGAAGAGAGGAGCAGCCGTTGATTACACGGTAACAGGTGAGGAAGAGAGGAGCAGCCGTTGATTACACGGTAACAGGTGAGGAAGAGAGGAGCAGCCGTTGATTACACGGTAACAGGTGAGGAAGAGAGGAGCAGCCGTTGATTACACGGTAACAGGTGAGGAAGAGAGGAGCAGCCGTTGATTACACGGTAACAGGTGAGGAAGAGAGGAGCAGCCGTTGATTACACGGTAACAGGTGAGGAAGAGAGGAGCAGCCGTTGATTACACGGAACAGGTGAGGAAGAGAGGAGCAGCCGTTGATTACACGGTAACAGGTGAGGAAGAGAGGAGCAGCCGTTGATTACACGGAAACAGGTGAGGAAGAGAGGAGCAGCCGTTGATTACACGGTAACAGGTGAGGAAGAGAGGAGCCGTTGATTACACGGGAACAGGTGAGGAAGAGAGGAGCAGCCGTTGATTACACGGTAACAGGTAAGGAAGAGAGGAGCAGCCGTTGATTACACGGTAACAGGTGAGGAAGAGAGGAGCAGCCGTTGATTACACGGTAACAGGTGAGGAAGAGAGGAGCAGCCGTTGATTACACGGTAACAGGTGAGGAAGAGAGGAGCAGCCGTTGATTACACGGAACAGGTGAGGAAGAGAGGAGCAGCCGTTGATTACACGGTAACAGGTGAGGAAGAGAGGAGCAGCCGTTGATTACACGGAACAGGTGAGGAAGAGAGGAGCAGCCGTTGATTACACGGTAACAGGTGAGGAAGAGAGGAGCAGCCGTTGATTACACGGTAACAGGTGAGGAAGAGAGGAGCAGCCGTTGATTACACGGTAACAGGTGAGGAAGAGAGGAGCAGCCGTTGATTACACGGTAAACAGGTGAGGAAGAGAGGAGCAGCCGTTGATTACACGGTAACAGGTGAGGAAGAGAGGAGCAGCCGTTGATTACACGGTAACAGGTGAGGAAGAGAGGAGCAGCCGTTGATTACACGAAACAGGTGAGGAAGAGAGGAGCAGCCGTTGATTACACGGTAACAGGTGAGGAAGAGAGGAGCAGCCGTTGATTACACGGTAACAGGTGAGGAAGAGAGGAGCAGCCGTTGATTACACGGTAACAGGTGAGGAAGAGAGGAGCAGCCGTTGATTACACGGTAACAGGTGAGGAAGAGAGGAGCAGCCGTTGATTACACGGTAACAGGTGAGGAAGAGAGGAGCAGCCGTTGATTACACGGTAACAGGTGAGGAAGAGAGGAGCAGCCGTTGATTACACGGTAACAGGTGAGGAAGAGAGGAGCAGCCGTTGATTACACGGTAAACAGGTGAGGAAGAGAGGAGCAGCCGTTGACTACACGGCAACAGGTGAGGAAGAGAGGAGCAGCCGTTGGATTACACGAACAGGTGAGGAAGAGAGGAGCAGCCGTTGATTACACGGTAACAGGTGAGGAAGAGAGGAGCAGCCGTTGATTACACGGTAACAGGTGAGGAAGAGAGGAGCCAGCCGTTGATTACACGGTAACAGGTGAGGAAGAGAGACCAGCCGTTGATTACACGGTAACAGGTGAGGAAAGAGAGGACCAGCCGTTGATTACACGGAAAACCAGGTGAGGAAGAGAGGAGCAGCCGTTGATTACACGGAAACAGGTGAGGAAGGAGGAGGCAGCCGTTGATTACACGGAAACAGGTGAGGAGAGAGGAGCAGCCGTTGATTACACGGTAACAGGTGAGGGAAGAGAGGAGCAGCCGTTGATTACACGGTAACAGGTGAGGAAGAGAGGGAGGCAGCCGTTGATTACACGGTAAACAGGTGAGGAAGAGAGGAGCAGCCGTTGATTACACAGTAACAGGTGAGGAGAGAGGAGCAGCGTTGAGTTACACGGTAACAGGTGAGGAAAGAGTAGGGAGCAGCCTTGATTACATGGCAAATGAGGTAACAGCTAGTCGTAACCATAGGAGAAGGAAGGAAGGAATGAGGAGGCAGAGAAGGAAGGAGTGTGAAGCAGCAGTGCGGCACAGGCACTGTGACTTGGCAAGCCAGGTTGGTTGGGCGTGCATAGCCATGAAAATTCAGATGACATCAGCACGCCCCACGCCCCATGTAAACTATGCCCCAAACCTCAATTTCCTTCCCCCCCCACAGACCATGCACCATGCACTGTGCACGATGCCCCATGCCCCATGCCCCATGCCCCATGCCCCATGCCCCATGCCCCATGCCCCATCCCGCATGCCCCATGCCTCATACCCCATGCCTCATACCCCATCCCGCATGCCCCATGCCTCATACCCCATGCCTCATACCCCATGCCTCTACCCATCCGCATCCCCATGCTCATACTCCATGCCTCATACCCCATCCCGCATGCCCATGCCTCATACCCCATGCCTCATACCCATGCTCATACCCCATCCGCATGCCCCATGCCTCATACTCCATGCCTCATAACCCCATCCCGCATGCCCCATGCCTCATACCCCATGCCTCATACCCCATGGCTCATACCCCATCCCGCATGCCCCATGCCTCATACTCCATGCCTCATACCCCATCCCCAGCCCCATGCCTCATACCCCATGCCTCATACCCCATGGCTCATACCCCATCCCGCATGCCCCATGCCTCATACTCCATGCCTCATACCCCATCCCGCATGCCCCATGCCTCATACCCCATGCCTCATACCCCATCCCGCATGCCCCATGCCTCATACTCCATGCCTCATACCCCATCCGCATGCCCCATGCCTCATACCCCATGCCTCATACCCCATGGCTCATACCCCATCCGCGCCCATGCCTCATACTCCATGCCTCATACCCCATCCCGCATGCCAGCTCATACCCCATGCCTCATACCCCATGCCTCATTAACCCCATCCGCATGCCCCATGCCTCATACTCCATGCCTCATACCCCATCCCGCATGCCCCATGCCTCATACCCCATGCCTCATACCCCATGGCTCATACCCCATCCCGCATGCCCCATGCCTCATACTCCATGCCTCATACCCCATCCCCGGCATGCCCCATGCCTCATACCCCATGCCTCATACCCCATCCCGCATGCCCCATTGCCTCATACTCCATGCCTCATACCCCATCCCGCATGCCCCATGCCTCATACCCCATGCCTCATACCCCATCCCGCATGCCCCATGCCTCATACTCCATGCCTCATACCCCATCCCGCATGCCCCATGCCTCATACCCCATGCCTCATACCCCATGGCTCATACCCCATCCCGCATGCCCCATGCCTCATACTCCATGCCTCATACCCCATCCCGCATGCCCCATGCCTCATACCCCATGCCTCATACCCCATGCCTCATACCCCATCCCGCATGCCCCATGCCTCATACTCCATGCCTCATACCCCATCCCGCATGCCCCATGCCTCATACCCCATGCCTCATACCCCATGGCTCATACCCCATCCCGCATGCCCCATGCCTCATACTCCATGCCTCATACCCCATCCCGCATGCCCCATGCCTCATACCCCATGCCTCATACCCCATCCCGCATGCCCCATGCCTCATACTCCATGCCTCATACCCCATCCCGCATGCCCCATGCCTCATACCCCATGCCTCATACCCCATCCCGCATGCCCCATGCCTCATACCCCATGCCTCATACCCCATCCCGCATGCCCCATGCCTCATACTCCATGCCTCATACCCCATCCCGCATGCCCCATGCCTCATACCCCATGCCTCATACCCCATGGCTCATACCCCATCCCGCATGCCCCATGCCTCATACTCCATGCCTCATACCCCATCCCGCATGCCCCATGCCTCATACCCCATGCCTCATACCCCATGCCTCATACCCCATCCCGCATGCCCCATGCCTCATACTCCATGCCTCATACCCCATCCCGCATGCCCCATGCCTCATACCCCATGCCTCATACCCCATGGCTCATACCCCATCCCGCATGCCCCATGCCTCATACTCCATGCCTCATACCCCATCCCGCATGCCCATGCTCATACCCATGCCTCATACCCCATCCCGCATGCCCCATGCCTCATACTCCATGCCTCATACCCCATCCCGCATGCCCCATGCCTCATACCCCATGCCTCATACCCCATGGCTCATACCCCATCCCGCATGCCCCATGCCTCATACTCCATGCCTCATACCCCATCCCGCATGCCCCATGCCTCATACCCCATGCCTCATACCCCATGCCTCATACCCCATCCCGCATGCCCCATGCCTCATACTCCATGCCTCATACCCCATCCCGCATGCCCCATGCCTCATACCCCATGCCTCATACCCCATGGCTCATACCCCATCCCGCATGCCCCATGCCTCATACTCCATGCCTCATACCCCATCCCGCATGCCCCATGCCTCATACTCCATGCCTCATACCCCATCCCGCATGCCCCATGCCTCATACTCCATGCCTCATACCCCATCCCGCATGCCGCATGCCTCATATCCCCTAACGCCCTCACCTGCCCTACCAGCGGCACGGCCCTGAGGCCGGTGGACTCAAACTTGTGCTCCGCAGAGGCGTAGCGCAAGAGGACCTCCGCTGACGTCAGCGAGGAGTGGCAGAGGAACATGGCGAGCGAGCGCACATTCTCGCGGCGCCGGCACAGCCCCAGAAACAGCATGCCGCGCTGGCGTGGGGGGTGGAGAGGGGAGGGTGCAGGGGGGGTTAGAAGATAATTGAAGAGGACGCATGCGGAGGTTAGTGAAGTGTGGGTGAGGAGCATGGCGGGCAATGACACGCACTGATGGAGCTGCCAGGCACAGGCCCAGGAACAGCACTCCTTGCTGGCACAGTGGGGGGGAAGGGGAAGGGGGGGAGGGGGGTGACGCAGAGGTTTGTACAGTGTGGAGGAGAGCGCCTGTTCTCCCGCCTCCTGCAAAGCTCGAGGCGCCGTGCTGCCGTGCTGCCGTGCTGCCGTGCTGCCGTGGTGCCGAGCTGCCGTGGTGCCGTGGTGCCGTGGAAGGGGGGAGACGGCGAGGAGTAGCGGGAGCGGACGGCTGCAGAGGGCAGTGAGGCGAGGAGCAGTGCGAGTGCGAGCAGTGGCTCCAGTCTCCTCCTCCGCCTCTCGCCTCGTGGCTTCAAAGATCTCCCCCCCGCGAGAATGGAGTGAAGGAGACACGAGGAAGTGACCTTTACAAGTGTGACGGCGACAGGCGGAAGAGGAGGGAGAGGTGACAGCGGGGGGGGGGTACGAGAGGGTGAGGGGGGAGGGGAAAGAGAGGGTGAAAGAGGAGGGTAGCGAGAGGGTGAGAGAGTGTGAGGAGGGCACTCACCAGCGAGTCAGCAGGCGTGCCCGTCTCCTCCTCCACCTCTCGCTTCATGCCCTCAAACATCTCCCGCGCGATGGTGGCGTTCAGTTGCGCGGAGGAGGGGGAGGACGAGTCAGAGGGGGAGGGTGGAGCTTGGGGAGAGGTGGACGAGGCATCATGCAGTGACAGAGGGCCAGCGGGGGGCGAGTGGGCAGGCGGCGCTGGTGGCGGGGCAGAAATGCCCGCCTCGGACGGCTGCAGGAGGGTGAGAGGTGAGGAGCGCGCAGGCAGAGAGGGCAGGTGTGAGGAGAGACGAGATAGGTGGGAGAACCGAAGGGAGAGGAGGGGGAAGGTGGGAAAGAGGTAGGGGAAAGAAGGAGAGCAGGGGGTGGAGAGCAGGGGAATGAGGTGAGGTGCAGTTGGGGGATGAAGCACATGCTTTATGTGCGCAGGGGCGACATACCTGAAACCAGCCAGCCTGCAGACAAAGAAGACGATATAATGATGCTGCCAGGTGTTACCTCTGGGTGTCCCCCTGGGAAAACAGGGCAGTTTGGGAATTCACCCACGGCGGTGCCTCTCTGCAGCAGCAGGAAGCGCCTGTCAGCCGTCACCACCAAGGCCGCATTGCCCAGGGCGTCGCCCATGTACTGACACGCGTGGGCGTCCCGCTGCCCTATGGCCTGCTGGCACGTGGCACAGGGAGCACTGTGTCCACAGGGCTCCGCTTGTGTGCACTGTTGCGCATCAGCCTTTGCCCCGCCATCATCGACCCCACTGGCGTCGACCCCACTGGCATCAGTGCTACTGCTACCCCCCCCCGCGCCTCCATCTGCTCTCCCCATACCTCCGTCCACCTCCCCTCTGCCCCCTCCTGCTGCCTCTCTGCCCCCGCCCTCGTCTGTCTTGAGGCGCTTGCTCGGGTCGCTGCCTGAGAGGGGTGCTGCGAGGAAGCTTCGCCAATCAGAGCAGAGGTTGGTGGTGATGAGGCTCCTGGTGGGGTGGCGGGGGAGAGACGAGACGAGGGGGGGATGGCAGAGAGGGGGTGGTGGTGAGGTTGCTGATGGGGTGGTTGTGGATCAAGGACGGGGGGAAAGTGGTTCTTAGGCAGACGCAGAGAGGTAGTGGAGAGAAACCTGGTGGCGTGGTGGCAGGAGAGGGAGTTGATGACGACAGCAAGAACGTTCTGCAGAACACGTGCCGCCGTCTCATGTGCTTCATGCCACATCCTATGCAGCCTGCTTCAAGTCATGCTTCCCTGCCTATCCACTCACTTGCACTCCCAAAGGCCCAAGTGCAGCCCCGCACACTCAAATGCCCTCCCACCGTGCCCCTGCCCCATCCCCACATCTCCCCTCCTCCCAAGCCTCCCCCTCCCAAGGCCCCCCTGTGCCTCAATCAACAGCATGCCACTCGATTGTAATCCGTAAGTCCAGGTGCAGCCTGCAGCCGCACACACGCCCTACCGCATATCTCCCCCACCCGTCCGACCTTGCCTCCCCCTCTCACCCCACTACTCTCCCAACAGTCTCTCACTCACGTGTAATCCGTGAGCCTCAGGTAGGCTTGAGCATGAACCCGACCCGACCCGACCCGACCCGACTTTGCCCTACCCGATGTCGGGTTCGGGTCGGGTCGGGTCGGGTCAAGTCGGGTCGGAGTTCAGGAAATGTCAACCCGACCCGTGTTTAATAGGTCGGGTTCTACCTAACCCGATTTCGGGTCGGGTCGGGTCGGGTTGGCATAGGGGCAGGGACGGGTAATAAGCCGACCCGACGGGTCGGGTTTTATCGGTCGGGTCGGGTCGGGTCGGGTCGGGTACCCGAGGGTCGGGTCAACCTTCCGCAAATGTCGACCCGACCCGTCAAAAAGTCGGGTTCGGGTCGGGTTACCCGACCCGACCCGACCCGTTGCTCAAGCCTAGCCTCAGGTGCATGCTCATGTGGGCCGCCCTGCAGAGGTCGCTCAGGCGCATGCAATGCAAACCCCCACCCCCCCTCCTTCCCCCGCCCTAACACCCTCTCACTCACTTGTAGTCCGTGAGCCCCAGGTGCAGGCACACACGTGGGCGGCCCTGCAAAGCTCCCTCAGGTGCATCTGGCGCCGCAGCAGCAGACGGGAGGGTTTCAGCGGATGGCGGCTGCAGCGAGAACCCTCCGTACTGAGGGGTACATGGGGGCGCCGGGAAGGGGGGGAGGTGGAATGGGATGGGAGGGGTTGGGACGGGATGGGATGGGATGGGATGGGGTGGGAGACTTTGCAAGAGAGATGAGGAGAAACGACATAATCAGAGAATGACAAGTGGTATAGTTGATAGTTTCTGAACATGTTGTTTTCTGCATAGACATAACCGAACACAGACGAATGAAGCGTGCAAGTAGAGAGGACCACGCATAGCCATTTGATTCTGGCTGCAGCTTGATGCATCATCTCGACCCTGCTGTAGGCCCACTGAGACCACTGGAAGACGTGCGTGTCCTCTGCGCTGTGTGGCGCAGCACAGGGCGCGATGACCGGCAGAGGTCAGGGCTGAGGAGAGCACCAGAGCAGCAAGAGAAGAGAGCATGAATAGTTTTCCCCCCACTCACTCTAGAATGCCCATGATTCAGCCACAGGGGAGAGGGCAATGCACTCACTCGGAACTTGGACCCATTGTAAAGCGAGGGCTGCCGCGCTCTGCGCCTCTGCCACTCCTGCCATGGCCGCGCATGATGGACGGGGGGACTTTTGAGTGGTGTTCACATGGCCACGCATGGTGGACGGGGGGACATTTGAGTGGTGTTCACATGGCCGCGCATGGTGGACGGGGGGAATTTTGAGTGGTGTTGACATGGCCGCGCATGGTGGACGGGGGGACTTTTGAGTGGTGTTCACATGGCCGCGCATGGTGGACGGGGGGACTTTTGAGTGGTGTTCACATGGCCGCGCATGGTGGACGGGGGGGACTTTTGAGTGGTGTTCACATGGCCGCGCATGGTGGACGGGGGGACTTTTGAGTGGTGTTCACATGGCCGCGCATGGTGGACGGGGGGAACGGGGCGGGCGCGAGTGCATGTGAGGGTGCCGTGTGTGTGCGTGCAGGAGGATGGAGGGTGGTTGAAGACGGTCTACAGTGGGCGAGGAACACAGGACAGAGGCGGGACCAACGGGTGTGATCTCAAGAAGAAACTCAAATGAAACCTATGCCGTGTCCCACTGCATGCCGTGCCCCACTGCATGCCGTGCACCACTGCATGCCGTGCACCACTGCATGCCGTGCCCCACTGCATGCCGTGCCCCACTACATGACGGGCACCATCTCGTGCACCACATGACTGTGCTTTCCCTGACCTACTGCCTGCCACACTATGCGCCACCACATGCCCTTCAAGTGCCACCACATGCCCTTCAAGTGCCACCACATGCCCTTCAAGTGCCACCACATGCCCTTCAAGTGCCACCACATGCCCTTCAAGTGCCACCACATGCCACCACATGCCCTTCAAGTGCCACCACATGCCACCACATGCCCTTCAAGTGCCACCACATGCCACCACACGCCCTTCAAGTGCCACCACATGCCACCGCATGCACATCAAGTGCCACCACATGCCACCACATGCGCATCCCTTGCCTACCTCTCAAGGCTGCACCCACCGCGTGCATCATTCGCTCGAGAGCGCTGTTGGGGTGGGGCTTGCGGTTGAAGCGCGCGGAGAAGTCGACTGCCAGCTGTGAGCGGTGGGGCAAGCAGGGATGGGACACGCGGATGGCAAAGGAAGCGAATGAAGCGGGAAGGAAGCGGGGAAGTACTCCGGCAACAGCAGAGGCGAATGAACATCACAAGATTCGCCCGACTCGTCCGCAGCCAGCCAGCAACGCTGACCCACCTGCCCCTCTGCAACCCCTGGTGACCCCCAGTTGAGCAGAATGAGCAAGTCGCTCGAGCCCAGCTGCTCCCTCGCCTCCTCCTCCACCTCCCCCAGCGACCGCCCCCCATTCTGTGCTGCTCCTACCCTCTCCTGCTCCGGCAGCGCTGGGCTCCCTCCCTCCACTGGGAGCGGAGGGGGTCCTGGTCGTTGGGAGCCATGGCAGGCCGCGCGTGCACTGCGCACTGCCGAGCCAACACGAGGGCGCGCACGAGAGGGCGGAGGGAGGAAGAGGGGGGAGGTGGTGGTGGGGGGGGCGGGGGTGAGGATGCGCGGGAGAATGAAGTCTGACTTTCCATTTCCACCCACAATGGCTGTCAGTCGTCACATGGCTGACAGTCGTCACATGGCTGACAGTGGTGGCATGGCTGCGGTTGAGAGGGGCAACGGAAGGGCGGCTCTGAAAATGCGTGAACTGGAGAAGCCGGGGATACATGGGGGATGCATGCAGGCCGGGGGCAGTCCAGGGGAGGGTGAATTCCAAGGGTGAATTACAAAAATTAGGGAAGGGTGAATTCCAAGGGTTTACTAAGGGTAAAGTCGAAGGGCGAATTCCAAGGGTGAACTCCAAGGGTGAATTTCAAGGGTAAAGTCCAAGGGTGAACTCCAAGGGTGAATTCCAAGGGTAAAGTTCAAGGGTGAATTCCAAGGGTAAAGTCCAAGGGTGAACTCCAAGGGTGAATTCCAAGGGTAAAGTCCAAGGGTGAACTCCAAGGGTGAATTCCAAGGGTAAAGTTCAAGGGTGAATTCCAAGGGTAAAGTCCAAGGGTGAATTCCAAGGGTGAACTCCAAGGGTGAATTCCAAGGGTGAACTCCAACGGGGAATTCCAAGGGTAAAGTCCAAAGGTGAACTCCAAGGGTGAATTCCAAGGGTAAACTCCAAGGGTGAATTCCGATGGTGAAGTCCAAGGGTGAATTCCAAGGGTAAAGTCCAAGGGTGAATTCCAAGGGTGAATTCCAAGGGTAAAGTCCAAGGGTAAAGTCCAAGGGTGAATTCCAAGGGTAAAGTCCAAGGGTGAATTCCAAGGGTAAAGTCCAAGGGTAAAGTCCAATGGTGAATTCCAAGGGTAAAGTCCAAGGGTGAATTCCAAGGGTAAAGTTCAAGGGTGAATTCCAAGGGTTAAGTCAAAGGGTGAACTCTAAGGGTAAAGTCCAAGGGTGAATTCCAAGGGTTTAAGTCCAAGGGTGAATTCCAAGAGTAAAGTCCAAGGGTGAATTCCAAGGGAAAAGTCCAAGGGTGAATTCCAAGGGTAAAGTCCAAGGGTGAATTCCAAGGTAAAGTCCAAGGGTGAATTCCAAGGGTAAAGTCCAAAGGTGAATTCCAAGGGTAAAGTCCAAGGGTGATTTCCAATCCAAGGGTGATATCCTGTCCCCTCACGAGCACCCTCCTACTCCCCCAGGAGGTCACCCTCTCCTGTGGAAGAAGCATCAGTGCAAGCGCCACCCCCCCTCCATCCCTCTCCCCCCACCCTTCCCCCTCCCCCTCCCAACCCCAGTACCCCCACCACTCCCCACTCACCCTCCTCTTTCAACCCGCCAGGCACCAGCTCCGCCAGGCACCAGCTCCGCCAGGCACCAGCTCCGCCAGGCACCAGCTCCGCCAGGCACCAGCTCCGCCAGGCACCAGCTCCGCCAGTCACCAGCTCGGCCAGGCACCAGCTCCGCCAGGCAGCAGGCGCGCGGAGAGGTTGACGTCGGGGAACGGGAAGAGGAGGCGGAGCGAGAATGCGGTGGAGGGGGGCAGGAGCGAGGCGCGTAAACTGGAGAAGAGGGGGAAGCGAGGGAGGGGAGTGTGAGGGGAGAGTAAGGAAAGGAGAGTGTGGGGGGAGAGTGAGGGAGGGGAGTGTGGGGGAGAGTCAGGGTGGGCAAGGGGAGGCAGAGACTCGGAGGTGGGAGCGGCGAGAGGCGCAAGAGCGAGACAGGCGGGAGGCGACTCACCTCTCGGGCGGGAGGTGAAGAGCGCGTGGCGAGACGGGGAAGAGAAGAAGGCGCGAGTGGAGATAGCGGGAGGAGGCGAGGGTGCGGAGGGCGAGGTGACGGGGATGCGGGAGACTCCCAATCTCCTTCGGAAGGAGCGGCGGGGGACGGTTGCCAGAGGGCGGCGGCACGCAGCTGCGAGGGAGTGCAGTGGATTCCGGGATTCAGCGCGCTAGTCTGCCAACTTCGTGTCTATTTTTTGCGAACTACAGTATGTCGATCCGAGCCTTAGGATGCACCCGACGTCAATGCAACATTGATACCAGCCAACATCCACGCTTCATCTAGTGCTGATTCGTTACAACTTAAGGTCAATTTTGAGGTTTGCTTTCTTCTTGTTGTGATAAAATCGTACTTAAGCATTTCTGTCGAGTTAAACTGTAGTTAGCATCCGTAGAATGACATCAGCAAATAGCGCTCGTCTGGATGGTTACGTCAGCAGGCCGTTTCAGCCACCCGAACAGTCGCCCTCTTTTAAGTAGTGATTAGAGCGCATAGCGCAAATAGTTTTGAACAGATACATTACCGAACAGGTACTTCTAACAGATATAAGAGTAGCTTGTATGACTTCAATTATTAACTTGTTCTTAGTAAATTCTGGTCAACACTTACAAGTTCTAAGACTTCCGCTGTCTTACTAGTATACCATTCCAGCAAATATCCTTGTTCAAGTCTTGGAGTGTCACAAGGCTGTAACACTGATTCTGGTATTACAACTTGTTAATACTGGCTGTTACTGGAGGTACTTCCAGTATTGCTTTCTACTTCAAGTACTTGTGTCTGCAGTTTCTATACTTGGTCTCCTGCACCACCTTTCAATTTCTTTTATGGTATCAGAGCTGTATGGGATTAAGACTATCGTCAATTCTACAAATGACTGGACCATCATCAGCTCCAACATCTGGTTCTTCAACCACTGGGCCCACGAGTATCACAAATCCTACTGTCTTCACAGGCCACGCAGGTGACTCTGCAGTTGGAAATTCTCCACCTGCTTATTCCTCAATCGGGATGCCTCAATAGCAGAAAGGTTTTCCTACTGTGCATCCACCAGGGACTTCGTCCTCTGCACCTGCAACATCACAGCAACAAGCAGCAGCATCAGTAACAGCGGCCTTCAGTGGTATGAGTATTGATGGTTCGAGTTATGCAAGAGCTGCAGCCGCTCCAAGCTCCAGTCCTTCGTTTGCGTTTACACCTGCTCAACAACAACTTCAATTTATGCAACAACAGCAACAATCACAACAACAGCATCCACAACAACAGCAGTAACAGCACCAGCAACAACAACAACAGTTTCCGCAGCAGTAAATTTCTTTTAGACCTGTCTTTCAGGCTCCCAATCTTTTAAGCAATACGCAGATCAAGACAACAATACCTTTTAATGGTGCTGACTTCTACTCCTGGAGTTTTGAGTTCGAGCTCCTCGCAAAATCCACTGGATTATGGCACTTCTTCAGCGGCGATTACTCGTATCTTGTTACGGGAACACAAATGGAGCAGCAAAGTTTTCTTCATGCTTCACTCAGCGTTTATACAGTTCTTATCCGCAATCTGTCGCTAAAAGAGCAGCTCGGTATACGCTCACTTCACACCAGCTTGACTCCAGCCGAATCTGTATGGAAGCATTTGAAGGGGCTATATATGGCACAGGACCCCATTTCAGTGACTAAGATTCTCTCACAACTAACAACTCTACAGATGCAGGGCAACGAGAACGTTTCAGATTATATCAATAGGGCTCGCACACTTCGCGACCAACTTGAAAAATGCGGCGGATACTTCCCAAAGGACATGTTTGTAACGGTTCTTCTTGCCGGTCTTGGAGCAGAATGGCGGCAGTGTCGATCTCTTCTCCGCACTCAACCAAATATTTCTGAAGCCGAAATTGGTTCGATTCTTCAAGCAGAGCAGCAGGACCTTGTTCTGCAAACAAGACGTAACAAAAAGGGAGCAGTTAATATCAGGATCTATTCAACGCCTGCAAAATGCATCAACAAGTTCTTTCGTCACTACTGCAAAAAGGATGGACACAGCATCAAATATTGCAACAAGCTTCAAGATGATAAGAAACGAGGAGCGCAGCAGCAGTCGCAACAGTTCAAGCAACCCATGAAGCAGAATCCACCGACAACAACTCTTGCCACATCCGGAAAACAAGTCTTCAGTTGTGTTACTACAGTTCATGCAACGGATTCAGATTTCGACGATGAGGAGGAAGAAAGTTCCATCGAACAACCTGAGAACATGGTCTTACCTCAGGTTTATACTAATCTCGCTCGGGTTATTGCACAACCCAACACTTGGTATCTCGATAGTTGTTGTGGTCAACACATGTGCTCTGCCGAGACGCTCTTCATCACTCACCAGCGTCCTCTTCGACGTCCAGTACCAGTCACAGTTGCAAATGGACAAACGATCATGGCAAGATCTACAGTATCGGTAGCGTCATGCTAGATTCTGTTGATACTGGTTTTTCCTTACACATTACGAACATTGGTTTTAATATTCTTTCGGCGGCTCAACTCTTGCGACATAAAATCAGGACACAAGGCAATTGTGAGACTATGGACAGAAACTTCATCACAACGATACCAATACTTACATCGGGAGAGCTGCCACTTAGTATGGCGTCTCCGTTCTTCAATTCGAATCGCAAGGCACTTTTGGAGATTCCGACAGAGTGTTATCTCTTGGGCCTAGACAACATCCTGAAGAGACTGATTATCAAAAGGTTGAAATAGACTTCCATGCAACTGCAGTTCTAATGGGATCTCGTATAGCCGCTGCAGTTATAACGGCTCTTGATTCCTGGCCAACAAACACAGTTGAAGAGGATACATCAGCGTGGCGGAACTACTATGACACTTTAACAGAACTCAACAACAAACCTGAAGTACCTTGGGGACCCAGCAGCAGCAGCAGTGAAGCAGAAGAAGTCGAGCAGCAGAGTAGCAATGAAGCAGAAATAGGGGTTCTCATCGGTCAACCTGCAGCAGACACACCAGAAACAGACATCGAAGAAGGAGAGTTAGTTCTGCAACCAGAAGCAGTTATCGATGTGGAAGGTACAACGACTAAGTTACCTCTTACCCGCTTCGTTTTCCTGGACAACTCGGCGAATCACCAACGCTTTCTCCTTTTGTCATTCCTACTTTTTATGCTAACGCCGATTTTTATCTGCGATCAACAGGACACAAAGCAACAGATGATAGATGGCATCAACGGTTAGGTCATCTGTCTCCGGGCATTCTACATCATTCTATACGGGCATCAGTTCTTGACAAGAATAGCTTACTCTTACCGAATGGAATCGAGATGAAGCCATCTTCACGACTGGCAGTCTACACAACATGCACAACTGCTAATCTTCCTCACGAACCTTTTCCCAGCCATTTTCTAGGATCAACTTGATATACACGTATGCAGAAAGTCTACAACGACATCCTCAACTTACCTAAATCAGGACCTAAGGGGGAGCTATATATGATCTCCTTTATCGAGGCTTCTACTCGATATGTTTGGACGGCAAACATTCCGGCTCGTCATATGGCTCATTCTATGTTCGTCGCGTTGCTCGCAATGGCTGAGCAAGAATCGAAGGAAAAGCTTCAAGAATTTCAAAGTGACGGCGCAGGAGAGTATACGGGCACAACCTTCACTGAGTATCTTCAAACCCTAGGCATCAAGCGCCGAGGGTCTCTGCCACATCAACATCAACAGATGGGGGTAGCGGAGCGGATGAACAGGATGTTACAAGAAAAGATGCGAGTCTTGCTAACTCAGGCAGCACTACCGCCACATTTTTGGACTTACGTTTTGGACCATGCAGTTTTTCTGCACAACTTGCTGTCGACAACTTCTCTTCCACAATTTTCTTCGCCACACCTGCAGTGGACCAAAACAGTGGGCAACACAAAAATTTTAAGAGTTTTTGGGTGAATCGTCCAATACCGACCTCCGACTGCAGCACTCGGGAAATTTTCGGAACCGGCTAAGTGGGGAATCCATCTTCGCATCGAGAAGCAGTTTTACGCGTGGAAAATTATGGATCTTCGCACGAGTCGAATCGTACCGGCACGTGATACAGCAGATACCTCGATCTCGCACCGACTTCCTGTACCGTCTCGAACCTATCAACACTATCTCGTGAAATTCTACAAAGCAAGAGCTCGTAGCTCTATCATCTGCTGAAGCTGAGTTTATAGCTGCTTGCACAACTACTCGCGAAGGTCTCTATCTACAAGAGCTACTGGAGGAAGCCAAATTGATGAGAAGTACACACTTCACCCTGCAGTGCGACAACCAAAGTGCAATCAGAATTGCACATCAACCTGGTTTCGCCAATAGGACGAAACACATTTCGCTACGAAATTTCTTCATCAAAGATGAAGTCGAGTAGGGGAGAATGCGATTGGTCTACTGTTCGACCTATGAAATGACTGCAGATTTCCTCACCAAGAAACTGACACGTCAGAAGTTCCAGTACTCCAACAAACTCTACGTATTATCAAGAAGTGACACTATCAGACTTCCAGAAATGAAGGGGAGTGTTGTGATAAAATCGTACTTAAGCATTCCTGTAAGTAGTTCCGATAGATATTATCGAGTTACACAATAGTTAGCATCCGTAGAATGACGTCAGCAAATAGCGCTCGTCTGGATGGTTACGTCAGCAGGCCGATTCAATCACGCGAATAGTCGCGCCCTTTCAGTAGCGATTAGAGCGCATGGCGCAAATATTTTTGAACTGGTACACTACCGAGCAGGTACTTCTAGCAGATATAAGAGTAGATTGTATGACTTCAATTATTAACTTGTTCTTGAGTAAATTCTGGTCAACACTTACAAGTTCTAAGACTTCCACTGTCTTACTAGTCTACCATTCCAGCAAAGATCCTTGTTCAAGTCTTGAAGTATCACAAGGCCGCAACACTGATTTTGGTGTTACAACCAGGGCTGGCGTTTAAAGGAAAGCCACTCTGAGCCAACCCCGGCCGAAAAAAAAGAGAGTATGAAGGGCCTTCAGCCAAAATTTTGGTACTCTGTGTTGTGATATGATTCATACTTAGCATTTCTGTAAGTCGATTATCGATAGATAGTATCGAATTCCACTGTAGAAGATAAGTCCGTAGGATGAAATCAGCAAATAGCGCTCGTCGTGAGGACAGTCGTTTCAGTCACGCGAATAGTCGCGTCAATTCAGTGTCATTTAGGG